AAGCGTTTATTTTTTATAATTTTCAAAATAAGAAAGAAAATTTTATTTTTATGACACAAAATTATATTTGCTAATTCAAACTTAAAGAAGATTATTCATCTTGGTTTAACTTTATGTTGTTTTGTTGTTTAGTTCAAATATGAAGATAATTAAAGACAAATATGTAATCAGTTCAGATGTATAGTTTCAGATAAAAAGTCCTGAAGAGTTTAGAGATAAATATATTTATAGTTATTGTCCCGGCGCATCCACCATTTTTAGTACAAATTTTAGAATTGAACGTATCTGTCCGAAATAACTCTCTTTTCTTGTAAAAAATCTCAGGACCATGAATATGTATTTATTTTCTCCTTTCTCATCACCAATTATGCACAAAAATGAGTTTTTATGCAAAAAATTGGCTAAACTTGTTTTAGAACATCGGATTTATTTTAGTTAAAATCTGTATCTGTATTTTTTGCTATGATCAAGTATTAAATATTTAAAGGAATTGACTATTTCTTTTGAATGTACTTAAGTACATCAAAAGTTACTAAAAATTCTGGAAATGAAAATTTTTGAATTTGAATTTTAATAATTGAAAATGGAAACGTTCGAAACTCGTAAAATTGAGGAAGTAAAAATTTTTAAAAATTATAATTGTTAGATACATATTTTAAATGAAAATACAAAAATTGCAGAAAAGAAAAATAAAAAAATTTAAAAGTTGAAAAATCGAAAATTTCGAATGGAATAATTGAAAAATCCAAAAACTGAAAATTTATCATTGAAAAAGGAAAAATTAGAAAAGCAGAAATTCGAAAAATTAAAAAATTGTAAAAATAAAGATAATAAAAAATTCCAAAATCTCAAAATTGTAGAAACAAGAGAAAGAAAAATTTTTAAAATCTCAAATTTAAAAACTGAAGAAAACAAAAACCAAAAACCTTGAAATACTAATTTAATTTTTCAATTTTTCGACTTCCAAATTCGTTTTTCGATCAGCAATTTCTCAATTTTGCAATTTTTCGATAACACAGTTTTTCATTTTCCGAGTTTTCAGTTTCACAGTTTTTAATTTGTCAGTTTTTTGTTTCCGCAAATTTCAAATTCTTGATTTTTATTTTTCATTTTCCCGATTTTTAATTTTCATTTTCTCGATATTGTATCACAATTTTTCGTCTTTTAATTTTCTTCTATTTTTTCAATGTTCTATTCGATTTTACAATTTTTCGTTTATTCAATTCTTCAAATTTTCAATTTCCGATTTTCCAGTTTTTTAATTTTTCGATTTTGCAATTTCTGGATTTATCAATTATCCGATTCTCTGATATCTCCAATTTTTAATATCTCGATTTTAAAATATTTCGTTTTTTCGATTTTGCACTTTTCGATTTTTCAGTTTCTCAGTTTTTAATCTTTCGGTTTTTCAATTTTTCGTTTGTGAAATTTTTCAAGTTCGTGATTTTCAATTTTTAGATTATTCAAAGTTTTCATTTGATAGTTTTTGGTTGTTGCATTTTCGATTTTTCAAATTTACAATTTTGCAATTTTGTAATTTTTCCATTTTTTGATTCGAAACATTGAAAAATCGGAAAACTAATAAATCGGACAAAATTGAAAAATACGCAAACTGAAAAAACGCAAAACTGCAAAATCGTAAAAAATGAAAAACCCAAAAATTGCAAATCGAAGAACTGAAGAAACGAAAAATCGGAACACTGGAAAATTAAAAATCGAAAAAATTAATGAATAGGAAAACTGAAAAGAAAAAATTAATCGAATCGATAAATTGGTAAATCCAACAATTGTAAAATCGAAAAATTATAGAATCGATAGCAAATCAAAAATTGCAGAAAGGAAAAATAAAAAAATTTAAAAGTTAAAATTGAAAAATTGAAAATTTCGCATTGAAGAAGGAAAAATTAGAAAAGCAGAAAATTGAAAAATCGAAAAACTGAAAAAATAAAGAAAATTTGCACCGAAGTGAAAAACTGCAAATAGAAAATTTAAAGAAATAGTAAATTAAAGTATCTATAAATTGAAAAATAAAAAATTGAGAATTCGAGAGATTTTAAATCGAAAAATTTCAAAATCCAAAAATTGAAGAAACAAGAAAAAGAAAAAAATTAAAATTTTCAAATTTAAAATCTGAAGGAAACTAAAACCAAAAACCGTGAAATACTGATTTAATTTTTAATTTTCCAATTTTTCGATTTTTCGGTTTCCAAATTTTTTAATTCATTTCTTCAATTTTTCGATCAACAATTTCTCAATTTTGTAATTTTTCGATATAACAGTTTCTCATTTTCCGAGTTTTCAGTTTCACCATTTTTTATTTTTTGATTTGTCAATTTTTTGTTCCCCCAAATTTCAAATTCATGATTTTTATTTTTCATTTTCCCGATTTTTTAATTTTCACTTCCCACTTCTTCGATTATTTTCTAAAATTAAATTTAAGGAAATCCATCCTAAACGAATTAAGAGCAACTAAAATTTTCTTTCAATCATGTATAAGCATTTATTTTTACTATAATTTTTAAAATAAGAAAGGAAATTGTATTTTTACTGCACAAAATTATCTTTGCCAAATCAAACTAAAAGAAGATTATTTATCTTGGTTTAAATTTATGTTGTTTTGTTATTTAGTTAAAGAAAAATATGTAATGTGTTTAGATATATAGTTTCAGGTAAAAAGTCCTGAAGAGTTTTGAGATAAACATATTTATAATTATTGTCCCGGCGCCTCCACCATTTTTAATACAAATATTAAAATTGAACGTATCTGTTCAAAATAATTCTATTTCGTCGTAAAATGTCTCAGGATGACGAATATGTATTTATTTTCTCCGTTTTCTTCTCCAATTACGGACAAAAATGAGTTTTTATGCAAAAAATTAGCTAAACGTGTTTTGAAAGGTCGCATTTATTTTAATTAAAATCTGTATCTGTATTGTTTGCTATAACCAAGTATTAAATATTTAAAGGAATTGATTATTTCGTTTGAATGTATTTAAGTACGCCAAAAGTTACTAAAAATTCTGGAAATGAAAATTTTTGAATTTGAATTTTACTTCGTCACTTCTTCCATTATTTTCTAAAATTAAATTTAAGGAAATCGGTCCTAAACGAAGTAATGGCTTCTGAAATTTTCTTTCAATCATGAATAAGCGTTGATTTTTACTATAATTTTATAATAAGAAAGAAAATTTTATTTTTATGACACAAAATGATCTTTGCCAAATCAAACCAAAAGGAGATCAATTTATCTTAATTTAAATCTATGTGATTTTTGGTACTTGGCTCAAAAATGACGAGAGTTAAAGAAAAATAAGTACTTTGTTTATATATACAATTTCTGATTGAGGGCCATACAGATTTTCGAGATAAACATATTTATGTTTATTGTCCCGGCGCCTCCGCCATTTTTAATACAAAATTTAAAATTGAACTTGTCTGCCAGAAATAGGTCTATTTTGTCGAAAATTTTCTCAGAACCACGAATATGCATTTATTTTCTTCATATTTTCTCCAGTTATTGAGAAAAGAGTTTTTATGCAAAAAATCAGCTAAATCGGTTTCAAAAGTACATTTTTATTTGAGTCGAAATCTCTGTTTGGTTTTTTTTTGTTATTGTCAACAATTCAAATATTTAAACGAACTGATTTTTTTAAAGTACCAATATATGCTAAAAATTAATTTTCGAAATAAATAATTTTTTAATGTAAATTCTATATTGTAATTTCCACGATTATTTTGTAAAAATTAAATTTAGTGAAATCGGTCCTGAACGAAGTCATCACACCTAAAACTTTCTCTCTATCATGAATAAGCATTTATTTTTACTGTATTTTTCCAAATAAACAATAGAAATATATTTTTATGACATCAAATTATCTTTGCCAAATCAAACCAACAGGAGATCAATTTATCTTAATTTAAATCAATGTTATTTTTGCTAGTTAGCTCAAAAATGACGAGAGTTAAAGAAAAATAAGTAATTTGTTTATATATACAATTTCTGATTGAGGGCCATAAAGATTTTCGAGATAGACATATTTATAATTATTCTCCCGGCGCCTCCACCATTTTTAATACAAAATTTAAAATTAAACTTATCTATCTAAAATGCATCTATATATTTTGTCGTAAAATTTCTCCGATTCAAAAGGTTTTATTTATTTTAGTTGAAATATGTCTTAGTTTTTTTATTATGTTCACGTATCAAAATATTTAAAGGAATTGAATATTCTTGAAATAAAAATTTTTCAATTTAGATTTAATCTCGCTACTTCCGCAACATTTTCTAAAAATTAAATTTAACGAAATCAGTCTTAAACGGGGTCATCGCTATCTGAAATTTTCTCTGGGACATTAATCAGTGTTCATTTTCGCCTTATTTTTTCTTCAAATCGGGAAAAAAATACATTTTAATGAAAAAAAAAATAGCTTTGACAAATCTGACCAAAAGGATGGTTTTAGTCTGTGTTGGCCTTAGTGCAAGCAGAAGTTCTCGAAAAATTTTAAATATACTATTATCCCGTTTTACAATTTTTTTTTAAATCAAATAAGTACGACTTATATTATTTCGCTTTAAACATCAATTGCCTGTGTAACAATTATGCAAAATATTTCATTAAAGTGAATTTATTAGGCTCAGAGAGTAATATATCTTCTGGCAGAGCTTAATGTTATTTGATATCAGACTTTGTGTTTCCAGTTGGAATTCGGAATGCCTTCTTTGTGAAATATTTGTTAAATTTGTTACAATTTATTGATATTTCTTTTATTCCAGTATCATTACGTTCTCGTATAATAACTTCCCAATTTTTTCGAGTTGTTTGCTCTCTCTGTATTAGTTCCGAGTAAAATGTCTGTTTTCCTTCTACTCACAAAAACCGCGCAACTTTCCAGGATGCGCCCCGTTTTCATAACTCGCTGCATAATCGCTACCCCTAAAAGCACTAAATCTCCCCAAACTTGATCCTATGCAGAAATCCAAGCTCGAGAGGATAACTTACGTTAATTAGTGTCCTTGAAACGAAAAACGCCACTTCCGCCTTACACAGAGCGTCGAACTGCTGCAAAAAGCCCAGATTAAGTTGCATCAGAGCTACAGTTCACTACCACAACCAAACCGAAAAACAGAAAAAAACTCACTCTGTTTACGTGATCCCGCAGCACGTTGGAGTACACCATGGCGACGGCCTCCAACGCCATGAAAGTTATAAAACCAATTATCCAAGGTATCACGAACGATATGTTCTCCTGAAACAACGGTAATTGATTTGAGAATTTAATTCCAAACTCGGGAATATTTTATTAGAGCAGACATCGATAAATTAATGAACGTCGGCCGCCATCGCCTCATCTGTATGGAAAAGTTAGTTTTCAAACATTCAAATTAAATTCGAACCTTCCCAGAATCGCTCCAACTTCGAACGGATGCAGGTTTGTTTTTCGCCGATTTTTGTTTAACGAAAGTGTTTCATCGGAAAATCCTTGAACGCAGAAATTTCTAGATCTCGGCTTAATTAGCTCGTCGATCACGCTGCAAAACACTTCGTCGGAGAGAATCCGGCGGAAAAATTACCCCCAGGTTTAATTTATCGGACGTTATAAAAATAAAGGATGTTTGTTCTGGGGGGTATTTACGGCTCGGGATTTGCTTACTCGAGAATGGAAATAAATCAAATAATTAGTCATTAACGGCGCCGGAAGACGCTTAATTGCTTTGTAATTGCTTTTATTAAAATGTGTTTGTGCCAGCAGGTTTAGTCATTAATCGAGGGAGAAGTAAAGAAAACGCAAACGATTTAGTAACAAGTGTTTACCCAAAAAGCTAGCATCTGGGAATGTAATTAAGGCAGCGGCCGGATCCCAGAACGAGATAAAGTCATTCTAATGGGTGGAATTTTTGGTTTAGGCGAGAAAACTACTGGTCCTTGATGGAGTTTTAAACTGCGCAAACTTTTGCTTGATCAATATCGGAGCTAAATTGTTATACGTTATTACAAGGAGGGTAATTGGGCGTCTTTGTTGCTTCCGAGCGCAAAGTTACTTTAATGACTACAGTTATTTCTTAGCTAAAACAACTATTTTTGCGCTAATGGAGTTTTAAGCCGCGAAAATTGCCAACAATAATACGGGAAAAGAGAACACGTGCTTCACCGTTTTCGTACACCCAATGTAGGAAACGTTAATGAGGTTTTAATTCGTAATGAAATTCTCACGAAATCTTTGCAAAATTGAAAAGAGATCTCTGTATTTGTTTTAAACACAATTAACACCGTATTTCTGGAAAAGCGGAAGAGAATTTACGGTAATTTTTCATTGTGCTTTGGAGGAATAAAGGGAATATGTTTTTTCAGTTGCTGCAAAATTTCCGACTTGATTTGCAATATTGCTACCATTCCTTGCGATTTATTTGAATAAAATTGGATGCCGAAATTGGATTCCTAATTATTGGAAAAAATCCAAATCGTATTAAGTTATTTTCTGTCTTTTCTGCCAATAGTAATCTCCGAACAGAGAAAGGTTGGAATTTTTCAAATTAAGCCGAAGAAAAATTCTTGAATAAGATTTTTGCTCGTATTGTTGTTTTGTTCAGACGACAAGATAGTTAAAGGAAAGTCGATTTTATTTCAAAATGTATAATTTCAAGTAAGTAGAAGTTCGTACGAATTTTTGAAATAAATATTTTTAAACTCTGTTAGTTTGCTGCCGCCTCCACCATTTTTATCACGGAATAATTAAAACTGTTAAACTTGGACCGAACTTGCCTCGGTCTTGCGTAAACTTTGGTGAGGATACCGAAGCCGTTTTCCACATAAATTTTTAAATAACGGAAAAAATTCGCTTTCACTCAAAAATTAAGACAAAAAAATAAATACGAAAAGAAAGTTGTCGAATAAAATCTCTGCTCGGTTGGTTATTTAGTTCAGAAGTCAGGAAGCACATTTTCTTTTAAAATGTGTAATTTCAAGCAAAATTGTCTACGGGTTTTTGAAATTCATATTTTTTAAACTTTGTTATTTGTTTGGCGCCTCCACCAGTTCTATCAAAGAATTACAATTGTTTAAATTAGTCTAAAATTGCATAAGTTTGATGTGAAAGAAAAATTTGTTGAGGGCCACGAATCCGTGCTTCTACTTATATATTTAAATTATGAAAAAAATTCGAACCAAAATTAAGACAACAAAAAATTAAGAAAATTCTTGAATAAAATTTCTACTCGAATTGTTATTTTCTTCAGATGTCAAGATATTTGAAGAAAAGCACTCTTTCTTCTAAGCTATGTAATTTCAAGTAGAAGTTCCTAAGAATTTTTGAAATACACGTGTTTAAATTTATTATTTTTCTGGTGCCTCCACCATTTTTATCAAAGAATTAAAACTGTTAAAATTAGACCGAAATTGCCTAAGTCTTATGTCAAATTTATTGAGGATCACGAATCCGTGCTTATTTTTCACCTAAATCTTTAAATTATGAAAAAAATTCGCTTTGATGCCAAAATTAAGTCAACAAAATAAATACGAAAAAAATCTTGAATGAGATTTCTGATCGAATTGTTATTTTGTTCAGTGAATGTTAAGGTATATGAAGAAAACCACATTTTCTTCAAAAATTTGTAATTTCAGGCAGAAGTTGCAACGAATTTTTGAAATACACATTTTTTAACTTTATTATTATTTTCGTGGCGCCTCCACCATTTTTACCAAAAAATTAAAATTGTTAAAATCAGTCCAAAATTGCCCAAGTCTTACGTAAAATTTGCCGAGGACTACGAATCCGTGCGTTTTTTCCACATAAATTTTTAAATAATGAAACAAATTCGCTTTCAAACAAAAATTAAGTCAACAAAATAAATACGAAAAGAAAATTTTTGAACAAAATTTCTACTCGTTTTGTTATTTTGTTCACATATCAAGACATTTTTTGATAAATTGTGTAATTTCAACCAGAAGTTTCAACGAGTTTTTGAAATAAATATTTTTAAATTCGTTATGTTTCTGGCCCCACCATAATTTTTATCAAGGGATCAAAATTGTTAAAATTGGTCCGAATTTGACTCAGTCTTACGTAAAGGACCACGAATCCGCACTTATTTGGCGTATAAATCTTTAAATAATGAAAAAAAAATCGCTTTCATGCAAAAGTTAGCTCAACAAAATGAAAACGAAAAAAAAATTCTTGAAAAAATTTCTACTCGTTTTATTTTGTTCAGGTATCAATATATTCGAAGAAAGGGACATTTTGTTCCAAATTGTGTAATTTCAACCAGAAGTTCTTACGATTTAAAAAAAAAAATATTTTTTAACTTTGTGGTACCTCCACTATTTTTATCGAGGAATTAAAATTGTAAAAATTGGTCCGAATTTGACTCAGTTTTAAGTAATGTTTGCTGAGAACAACGTATCAGTGCCTATTTTCCACATGGATTTTTAAATAATCAAAAAAATCGCTTTCATGAAAAAAAATAACTCAACAAAACGAATACAAAAAAAAAATTCTTGAATAAAATTTCTGTTCGTTTTGTTATTTCGTTCAGATGTCAAGATATTTGAAAGAAGGTACATTTTCTTCTAAATTATGTAATTTCAAGCAGAAGTTCCTACGAGTTTTTGAAATAAATATTTTTTTACTTTGTTATTTTCGTGGCGCCTTCACCATTTCTATCAAGGAATTAAAATTGGTCCCAGGACTACGAATCCGAGCTTATTTTCCACCGAAATCTTTAAATTATGAAAAAAATTCGCTTTGATGCCAAAATTAAATTAACAAAATAAATACGAAAAGAAAATTCTTGAATGAAATTTCTGCTCGTTTTATTATTTTGTTCAGATATCAAGGTGCTTTAAGAAAAATTTCAAGTCGAAGTTCTTACGAATTTTTGAAATACACATTTTTGAAATTTGTTATTTTTCTGGCGCCGCCACCATTATTATCAAAGAATTAAAGTTGTTGAAATTAGTCGAAAATTGCCTAAGTCATATGTAAAATTTGCTGAGAATGATGATTCCGTGCTTATTTCCCCCCTAAATCTTTAAATTATGAAGAAAAAATCGGTTTGATGCCAAAATTAAGTCAACAAAATAAATATGATAACAAAATTCTTGAATAAAATTTCTGGCCGCTCTGGAATTTTGTTCAGATGTCAAGATATTTGAAGAAAAGCATTCTTTCTTCTAAACTGTGTAGTTTCAAGTAGGAGTTTTTACGAATTTTTGAAATACACATTTTTTAATTTTGCTATTTTTCTGGCGCCTCCACCATTTTTATCAAAGAATTAAAATTGTTAAAATCAGTCCAAAATTGCCTAGGTCTTATGTAAAATTTGCTGAGAACTACGATTCCGAGCTTATTTTCCCCCTAAATCTTTAAATAATGAAGAAAAAATCGGTTTGATGCCAAATTTAAGTCAACAAAATAAATATGATAACAAAATTATTGAACAATATTTCTGGTCGTTCTGTAATTTTGTTCAGATGTCAAGATATTTGAAGAAAAGCATTCTTTCTTCTAAACTGTGTAGTTTCAAGTGGAAGTTCCTACGAATTTTTGAAATACACATTTTTTAATTTTGTTATTTTTCTGGCGCCTCCACCATTTTTATCAAAGAATTAAAATTACTAAATTTAGTCCAAAATTGCCTAAGTCTTAAGTAACATTCGCAGAACACCACGAATCCGTGCTTATTTTCCACCCTAATTTTTAAATAATGAAAAAAATTCGCTTTGATTCCAAAATTAATTCAACAAAATAACTACGAAAAGAAAATTCTTGAACAAATTTCTGCTTGATTTGTTATTTTGTTCAGAGCTCAAAATATTTGAAAAAAACATATTTTCTTCTAAAATGTGTAATTTCAAGTGGAAGTTTCTACGAATTTTTTAAACACACATTTTTAACTTTGTTATTTTTCTGGCACCTCCACAATTTTTATCACACAATTTAAATTGTTAAAATTAGTCCAAAATTGCCTAAGCCTTATCTAAAATTTGCTAAGGACCACGAATCGGAGCTTATTTTCCACTTAAATCTTTAAATTATGAAAAAAAATCACTTTGTTGTCAAAATTAAATCAACAAAATAAAAACGAAAAGAAAATATTTGAATAAAATTTCTGCTCCAATTGTTATTTTGCTCAGATGTCAAGATATTTGAAAAAGGGTACATTTTCTTCTGAATTGTGTAATTTCAAGCAGAAGTTCATACGAATTTTTGAAATAAATATTTTTTACTTTGTTATTTTTCTGGCACTACCA